TGTTCATGCAGCGTGCCTGCTTAGACAGCTGTTTTGACTGAAAACTAACTTTACAGAAGAGGAATACCTAACATCTCAGTTGGATCAGTGCTCTGATCTTGCTGACAGAAAGGGCAGTGTGATATTCTATCCGTTACAGCAGGTTATAAGCTGCATTGAGGCTGTAGTTACCTGGGGTGCCATGGCAATCTGGAGACTTGCTGCTGCTGAAAGAGAAGACGCTGCTTCCCCTCTTCTCCTTTCAGAGGCTCTGGCACTCTTCAGATCCTCTTGTGATGATTCAGCGAGATAATGTGGAAGAAGGTGACTCAAGGTTTCCACCTGGATGACGAGCTGCACAGTTCATGAGGAGACTTGAGGGGTGCTGAAGCAGGTGTAGGGCAGGGAGCAGCACTGGGCAGCCCAGAGCAGGGGGATGCAGGCGTTCCTCCAGCTAGCGCCGAGCCTGGCACAGCCTCCCTTGGCACGTACTCTGAAACCCGTGTCACGGCACCCTGTGCAGGCTTGCAGCCTGGATGTTGGCAGCTTGTAGTGGTGTTTGTTCCACTGCAGTCCTAATGCCTCGTGCGCATACCAAGTGCACGGATTCGTAGATGGAAAGATTGCAGACAGTAGGAAATCTTGTAGGGCTTCTTGTTTGTGTACATTAAAGAAGTAAATACAACAATGAGTGTTGTTTCCTTTCTTTCTCTCATTCTGCTGTTCCATTTCTTTCCATTAGACTAAGCAGCTCTTTCAGAACTGTGGCTGTATTGAAGTGCAGATCGAGCAGTTCTGAAATCAAGAGTGAGTGTGTGTACAAACGTGTATATGAATCTGAAGTGCGTACGTCGAAGTTCAGAGAAAATTCACACTTGCCATGAGTGGGTTTGGATGCTGTCTGTCAGTGCTATGTACCTGGGACTTAGAAAAACATTTAGTACGGGGCTTTGCTGCTGTTAAATTCCAATAATCTTTGTTTAGATACCTGAGTAGCCAAGATTAGGTACTGTTTTAATTACTTCCTTCTGTTGTATGAGGAGTTGTTTTTACTGGGACAGTAGGCAAGAACAGCTAGGAGGTTCACAGCCTGAAATAGCCTTTTATTATTGATTGTTGTGTTTTTTTCCTTTAGCTGAAGTAGTTTAAAGTGTCTCTGGTGTTGCTGCTCCCAATCCAGATGGCTTTCTGCCTTTGTTTCAGTTACTAGATGGGATGTTGTTAGTCACTAGTGCCACCACACATTCGCAGTTTGGCCCGTGACTCATTCTCACAGCCGTCCGATGTCGGCAGTCAGTGTCCTCAGTATAGATACTCGTTCTCTCTTGACCCCTGTGATGTCAGCTACTGGTGGAAACTGGGTGCTGACTGTGAAAGACACTAACCTGTTTCTTTGAGGAAGGAAATATTAAGTAAGTGCCTGAAAGCAAGAATAGCTTCCCAGCTTGCTCAGATTGGCGTGATGATGGCTCTTCCCTTTTTAGTTGAAAATGGAAACGGAATTTTAAGATTCTGATGTCTGTGTTGGAAGTCCGTAATGATACACAAGTGTCTTGCAAGAACTCTGTGTTGTGGTGTGTAGGTGAGCTGGGTGTAGTTAAACCAGGACGCTAGGTTATAGGTATGTAATGGCATTTTTGCGTCTTGCTGTTATGAACATTTTAAACTCTTGTTGATGCATTAAAGTGGTTTCAACAATTACAAATGTTGTGGAAAAATATCTGATGAAGATGGAATAGAAATGATCTTATGCTGAATTCAAATAGAAATTAGGAACAAAATAACTACGTAGAACAGATTGTTTTCCTTGCTGCTGTACCTGTTAAAAGTAGTGCTTTATAACAGCTTTCTTTTACCACGATCACCACAGGAAATAACTGCAAACGTACCGGGTGTGCATTTGAGTGTGAAAAATCTTTAGATAATTCAAATTACTGTTCTGTGACTACTGTGCTCAGTTGCAACAAAATTGCAGCCAAGGTTTTATCAGTAGAAGTAACTGGATGGGAGAAGAGAAGTAATATCCCATTTAAATAGGAGCTTGTTCAAGATACGCTGATTGGTAATGAGGAACTACGCATTTTCTCCACATTTTTTGGGTAGGTGCTGTGTTATTCTTTAGTGTAGTCTGTGCTGCATGATGGGACTGAATTTGATTCCTTTAGACAGTCTAAGAGATCATGGGCTGTGCTAAACTTTGCACACCCACCGATGAGTTAAGGGGTGGATTTATAAAGGTCTGGTCATCAAGCTAAAGTATTTTCATACCTGTTTCGTTCTTGTGACCAGGTCTACATTCCCACCTCCAATTCTTTTTATTTTGATTCAGTCTGGTGCAGTGGAGGGGAATAAGGACCTGATGGTGAATAAACTATCATTCGATGATGATGATGGGAGCTCCCTAACTGTTGCTTCTGTTGAGGAAAAATATTTTTCCCTACGTATTTATGCCCTCTGAAAGTTAAGAGGGTTTTTGTTTGCCTTTAATGAAAATTGCACTATATTTGTATCTAGTACAAGCAAAATACTGAGTGATCCATATCCTTAGTGTGGTACCAAGACGTGTTGGCAGCAGTCATGCTTGTGTGGGTCCTCAGCTTTGCTAAGGCTGAGCGGAAAGGTTTTGGAATGACCTGGGTCTCATTATTCAGTGTATTTACATGGCAGTTAGAGGTGGGATGTGTGCTGTCTCATACCTAAGGCAGCTTTGAACTGGCAAGCTGATAGTAGCACTGTTGCAGTACCAAATAGCTGCTTGGAGTATTTAGCTGGGCTCTGTGTGGGTTTTGAACTTGCTCTTCCACTGGTGACTGATAAGCTTTAGGAGATTTTGGGGTTTTTTTAGCCACTCTCTCTGCTGGAGAACTTTTCCAAATGCTAGATGAGCAGTTGTGTATATTTGTGGTAACTGGCAGGATAGAAACCAGCACTGAGGAATGAGAGGGACTGAGGACAGAGATGGACAGTGAATATTTTTAATCGGTGATCTAACAGGTACTGTTTGTTGAACAGTGATGATCAGTAAAAGTTAGCACTGGACAACCCTTTATAATAAGTACCCAATATTAATAGGTTGTCAATAAGAAGTTATGCCTGTGTAGTAGTTGATTTTTGTGCTGCTGGCATATTCTGTGATCCCTTGCAGGCACGTTCAGCTTTCCCCTGTGCTTGCTTGTTTGTGTATTTCACTGCAAGCTGTCTGTATCCAGCAAGGGATCGCAGGGACCTTCTGAAGTACCACTTCTGGGTTTCTGTTGTTAGTTAAGGACGAGGATGCGTATGATGACAACGAAGTGTTTGATTTAAAAGCCTACCGGTTTTAAAGAGTTGAATTTCCGTTAAATAGGAGTACAGACAACTTTAACTCATTATAAATGAAGCATTAACTTCTGCCTATCATAAAGTCTGGATTTAGTAGCCCGTGGCATGACTTTACCAAACTAAGCGTTTTTATGAAGAAAAACAATAAGCCGGGGAGGGAGGGGGACGAAGCAGCTTTGTTATCATGTAGTTGATCTCGGAGTTTTGTGGTGGGTTCAACTGTAGCCCATTATAAAAGATTTCCTGGTTGCCTGTTTTGGGGAAAAACGGCACTGAAGCGCTCTGGGATTGAAAAGCTGTGTTGGGCAGGGCATGCGCCCTTGGCAGGTTTGCGCAGCGCGGTGGCAGTGAACTGTAACCCAGTGGTGTGGCCACTTCAAGCAGCCTTGTGCTGCGTCTGGGTGTACCTTGGTGTGGCCAGCAGCTGTAGAAAGGCTTACCTTTGGGTAACGGGTTTTGTCTAGTGTCCTACAGGGGCAAAGACGGTGTGTCCTTGAGCAACGTAGGCAGCAGTGGTGATGATTTCAGAAGGCGGCTGTGCTCGGTTTTTTTTTTGGTGTTTGTCATTTGCCAGTGAGCTTGTTTGAACCTGCTGTGTGGATGTGTAAAGAACAGCAGACCAACGTATTGTTTGCAGCCTGCTTTTTCTGCTGGTGCTGGACGACGGGAAATGCCCAGGCACAACAGGCCTGATTTCAGAGCAGGGAAGGGATCTAGAGGAGAAGGAGTGATGAAAGTACTGGAAACCTGTAGTAGTAGTAGAGTTGCAGATTCACCCCTATTTTTTCACAAGTGGAGATCTCCTGTTGTCCAACGAGAATTAGAAAGGTGTAGGGGTAATGTGCTCTACAGTAGTGTTTCACAATGCCTCCCGTCCCTGCGTCAGCTGAAGAGCATTGTCTGGATAAAGAGGAAGGTAAATACTTCAGTGAATAGTGACTGAAGGGAAAACTCATCTTTAGAGAGTGGTAATCAAAAGATAAGGCTTGGAGGATTGGAAAACTAGTAGTAGCATTGAGAGTAAACAGAATGTCTTGAAGAAGTATGAGTGCTCAGGAAGCCAGTGTATTGAGGTGAAGTAGATCACACGAAGGGTTTCCCACTATTCCACAGTGGGTACAGTTTACACAGTGGGTTGAATTCAGTGGAGATGATCATTCTTTTAACGGGTGAAAGAAATTTGAGGTAAATGCCTTTAGAGGAAGATGTCACAGTTGAAGGAGATTTTCCTGCTATTAAGATAGACTTTCAAGGTGAAGATGTCACTCTGGGCACATTTGTGGAAAACAGGAAATCTGCAAAAACAAAATTAGGAAATAGATGCTGTGCTTTCATGTTAAATGTCATCCTTCATCCAGGAGGTTTGCTTTGATTGTATTTTATGCAGGTAAATAGTTTCAGAGAAAATCTAAAATGAATTTATAACTTTGTTTTATCTAACCTCTAGTGAGTTAGGTTTTTCTCTAATTACTTTGGTTTAATGATATAAACAGTAATGCTTTACCAGACAAGTGCTTTTATTATACTCATGGAATTATTGAGTGAAACTGGTTACGTGTTAGCCGTACTGGTATTTGAGACCCCAGGCTTGCAAACTGAGCTGTGCAAGCAGGCTTATGTAAACTTTACAAAGACTTTAAAATGTGTGTCTAATTATAGAAGGTTAAGTACACTGAATTTTAATTTTTTTTTCCCCTCAGGCCATGTGGTTATGATATTATTGAGATTCCATAATGCCTCCTGCCGTGACAGACAGCCTTGACATCTGGGCAGTGGATTCACAGATTGGTGCTGATGGCTCAATATCTGTGGACTTCCTGTTGCCCACTGGAATCTACATCAACCTGGATGTCCCTCGAGATGCCACCATTTCTCATATTAAACAGGTAATACCAACTGGTCAATTAAAAGGTAACTTATATTTGGAATGAGAGCTGTTTCTGATTTCTGTGTGCCTTTTGGCAAATCAAGCAATGAATTTGAGTAGGCATAAAATTAATGTGGTGAAGGCATGTGCATAGCGGATTGATTAATGAAGATGACTAGGTATCTGGGGGTTTGGAATGTGGTTTGTAGTACGGAAGTCAGAGACTGCTCCTGTGTCTTCTGATTGACACCAAAGACGGATGCTTTCAAAACTACGTATGCTGCTTCTTAAAGGTTGTGTCCAAGTGCCTTCTTAGGGCCTCACTTAAAAAGTGAGGGAATACTCGAATCGAAGGGGAGCATGTAAGGAAATAAAAATAGATAGTAAAGAACAATCTACTGACCTTTCGTCAGATGATGTCCATGTGAGGGCATTTAGACAGAAATTTTCTTCTTTGTATCAATAGCAGCTTCATATAATTTGTCGTACTCCTGAGTTGAAACTTTCTGAAGACTTAAAGAAACACTGAAGTATGGGTGGGGGTTTTTTTGGTGGTTTTTTTTTTTTTTTTAATGCAGCGGATCACTTAGTATTTTAAAAGAAATGAGGGTGCCACTAGAAATTGAAGTGGTGTGAGAAATAAGTTTTTCGCTCTACTCAAATACCTGAAATAATTCTGATGGGGAATAAATGTCACTGTTTTAGCCAAAGGGCGACCTGGGCAGCTGCAGGTTCGTTGTTGGGCAGGGTAATGGGACAGCTGATAGTGATTTCAACTGATAAAGAGCTTAAAAAACACAAGTGTGTAAGTGACTTGAATTAAGCTGTCTGGTTTTCTTGATGCCTGTGATGCTGTAAACGGTACTGTTGATACTTAGCTGTTTCTCAAAGAAAAAGAATGTTGATGATAACTATAGAAGTCTGTCATGGAAATCACTGTATTTGGAACCAAAACAATAAGACATACCAGATCAGTAGTTTTGCGCTCACCACATTGCTGAGACACGCCCTGATGGTGGACCCTTGGATGTATAAATGGAGGACTTGAGAGCACATATAAGGAGTTTGTCTTGTACGTGAAACTGATTAGAATTAGAGAAAAGAAGAAAAGTAGCAGATTATTTGGGGACTGAAGAATTTTTCATTTCTGTAGACTTTATAATTCTACTAGACCAGTACTTTGGTGATGGCGAATGGCTGTTTGGGTGGAAGTCAGCTTCAGGGACTTGATGGCTTTTTAAATTTTACCATTGCTAAGGGATACAGTAAGTGCCAGTAGCTGGAAATAGAAGTTAGACAACTTGGAAGGAAAAAAAAAGGTGCAGATTTTAAATCAATATAATTAGCTATTGGAGAACACAGAGGCAATAAGAGATTTAGTCCTTTGATACCACTGAAGTTGGAATTTTTCCTCTACACCACAGGTGGTTAGTCAGATAAGCAAAACACACTGGCATAGATTTCTGGGAGGCAGAACTCATCGTACAGTCTCTGAGATTGATGCAGGTCCATTGTTTGGCAAGGGGAGTTCAGTTCAGCTTCAGCTGTTTTGAGAAGAGGCTTTTGCCATGCATTATTGATCCTGCAGTTCCTGCTTCAAAAAACGCTTCAGGGACAAACCCATAAAATGTAAATGTCTAAAATGAGGACAAAAATATTCTCGCAGGTAAAGACTTGAATAGTATTTAGGTCGGGCGAGGCCTTTTTACTTCCCATTCTGATTTCTGTGAAGGATTTGATTTAATGTATTTGATACACTGGTGTTACTTAAGGTGTGATCTGCTCCTTAAGTACTCAGCTCAGTAAAGCATCGTTTAGCGTTCTTTGGGCGACTTGCATGTTTTGGTGGCCTGCTAGCAATTTACAAATCAGCTTACATTAAGCTTCTCCAGACAACAGGGAATATTTTATTCAGGAATTAGTTCCATAGTGGCAGCTTGTTGTCCATATTTACAATAATCACTGGAAAACGAACATAAAGATGTGTCTCAAGGGAGAAGGATTTTGGTAGGAAGCTATAGGAATGGATGGAGAAGAGTGACCGTTTGCTGGCCAGCATCAGGAATGTCTGCCTCCAAAATCAGTAGGTGCTTTGTTACTGTGGTGACAGGCAGGCCCCCAGCTGTACTGCAGACAAGACTCTGCTGGGTCAGTCCCAGGTAGGCCCTCAGGATGTGGGTTAGTGCTGCCCTGCTCTCATCAGCTCCGTGTACTTGTCCCCATGTTTTGTGACCCCTGGGATATTTATGCACGCAAGTTGCTGCTTAAAAATAACCTCAAGTTAGAGATTAGAAACAAGACAAAGTAAATATATAATGACATACAGCGAAAAAATGAGCCAAGTTGGCAAGCATGTTACTTTTGTGGTCTTTTGGGAGCACAAATGGAAATTAACCTTCAGTGCCACGTGTCCCGGCTTTCTTGTTTTGTTTCATTTCTTTATTTTCTTTGCAGCTGTTATGGAAGCATGCACATGCCTACCCACTCTTTCATCTCCTCATGGAGATCGACTCTTACATGTTCTCCTGCGTGAATCAGACTGCTGTCCATGAAGAATTAGAGGATGAAACACGGAGACTTTGTGATGTTAGACCCTTCCTTCCTGTCCTTAAACTAGTGACAAGAAACTGTGATCCGGGAGAAAAGTTGGATTCCAAAATAGGTGTCCTTATAGGCAAAGGTAATTAAAGTCAATTTTTTCAAAGATGAGGGTAAACTTTGTTTTATATGAGAGTCTTAACTCGGCAGGTAACAGTGGAAAAAGTAAACATAGAAGGGAAAAAAAAAAAGGAGTGTTTCCCTGATGGAATTTCCCTTTCTCAGAGTAATACTGGTGCAATTTAAAAGAATTAAATATTCAAGATGAAACATTTGAAAGATACTTTGTATTGTATTTTGGCACTGCATTCTATTACCACATCAATTAAGAGCAAATTTTATTTTCCTAGACAAGGGAAAGTAGTAATGTTACTACTGGGTGAAGGAAAGCACAGTCCCTGGAAAGCGTTGCTGTAAATAGCCTAGCAGCAAACTGGATGCACAGAAGGAACTAAAAGCTATTATGATTTGTTATACATGGTTTCTGAACTGGTTAACAACGTGATTCTTGTTTTTGCTCTCAACTGTGACACTGATTTTCAGCAGACAATGAAAAGCTATTTTTAAAGGTTTCACAGTAACTTGTTCTTGATGTTATTTCAGAATTTTCAGCTTTTCAATCCACTCTGCTTGGTTATACAATCAAGATTGACAGGGTCGTGTGAGGTCATACCTCTTGTGTTAAAACAATGAGCCATTGTTAGCTCTTTCATAAAGACTGCAGGTTTTGTTTAGATTTCAGCAGTACGCTGTCTGCCTGTTTGTGACAACGGACAATGGAAGCAGTTAGCCAGTTCAACCATATTCTGACAGCTTCGGAGAGATTCACGCTCTCTGATTGAATATTTTGCTTATGATAGCTGTGCAAGATCCTTCCTTAGGCAGCCCCTGTTCAGTCCCTTAGTGGGAAAAACGTGTTCCTGCCTGAGCTTCTGTACTCGGTGTTCAGTTCTGTAAAGGCACTCAGTGCTTGGTGTAATTTCGACAGCATCCCTCAAAGGTCGGGGGACAAGAAGGGAAGGCTTGCAGGCCTTGTGCTTCCTGAAGGCACAGAGTCACAGCTGTGTGGACTCTGCACTGCGTATTCTCACTTGGCAGGTTTTGGAAAAGGAGCTTCGCTGTTCTTGGATAGGTTGAAATTTCAGTGCTGCCATTTTGTCTTGAGTAGATGGTTTTAATCGCAAAAATTCAAGAGTAAGTTTATCCATTTACAGTCCCACTGTCCTTTTTTGACTTTTTAACAAAATAAAAGAGAGGTCATCGTTCTGTGGGACTGAAAATAAATAGTTTGCAAACACTTCTTCCCTTCTGTGGTCTTTATGATGCATTTGCTCTTGTGACGGAGACTTGAAACTTTCCAAACTGTCTTGAACTCAGGGTGAGGTTGGCATTTCCGTTTAATAGTACCAAAGAGACTCTCGTGCCAGGTTGCATGGGAGCTGTGCAAGTAACTTTAGAAGCCCACCAGTGTAGACAGGACAGCGTAGAACCCGGCTCACTTTTGAGCACCGTTTTGGATGGGATGTCTGAAGTTACCTTAACTTTGCCTTAACTTCATAGCAGTTTGAGTGGGACGGTACATAGGTTGGCAGTGTTTGTGTACAGGTATGTATCCTTTTGCTTCTGTGCATCCTTCCAGGTCTCCATGAGTTTGACGCCTTACAAGATCCTGAAGTGAATGACTTCCGAGCTAAAATGCGGAGGATCAGCGAGGAAAAGATCCAGTCACTTGTGGGTCTCTCCTGGATGGACTGGTTGAAGCACACTTACCCACCAGAACAGGAACCTGTTCTCCCCGAGAGCTTCCAAGATAAGCTCTATAGTGGAAATCTTGTAGTGGCTGTTCATTTTGATAACTGCCAGGTAGGAATCACACTCCATGTACTGATCTTGATCCGGATGTGAATTAGCATGGGGTTGGTCAGGGATGTAAATGAAGTAGGGGGTTGGATGCCAATGCAAGTTCTTTCACTGGGATCCTTGACCCTTGAAAGAAAGAGAAGACGCAAACCTACAGTTGTGAACTCAACTTCAAAAGTCAAATTACAGTTCTACTTGTAATGTCAAAATGTAAAACTTATATATTCTGCATTATTTCACGTTCTGTTTAAATGTAAAACAGTTCAGAGTTGTCAGGACATTTTTTGGCCAGCTGTTACCACGCTGCTTTGCTATTGTTCAGCTTTAGGCTTGGGATGCTGGTGAGTTGGGAGGCACCTGATTTAACACACTTCTCTGAGATTCATTGCTGAATATCTTTGGGGTTGATCTGCTAATTAGGTTGAGCAATACATTTAAAATAAAGAGGAATTAGTATTCCCTGTGCTAGACATGCGTATACACAAGGAAAACGCTGGCTGAGACTTAGAGTTACCTTTTTGCTTCAGCTAACAAATCCATAGCTTATTTTAAAAATAAAAACCCCTTTAGTTTCCACCTAAAATGATTTAGCTTCAGTTTCATGATGCTGGTGTTGCTATAATTCTGCTCGAGTCCAGCATTCCCATTCTTCATTTCTGCACTGTGTTCTTTTGGTTAACTGTGAGGGATCAGCATTGGAAACTTGAAAATCTCCCAAGTGTATAAATATATCGGGCTGTATTTGGTGTCTGTTCTGACCCAGGTGCTAGATACTGATTTTTCTAATGGTTCAGCTGATGTTATTTGTAAATCGATATGATTTCTGATACTTTTAACTTAAAAGTCCGAAATGGTGAAATCCTGTCTGGCTCTGGAAACACCAAATGCGGAGGTGAATACTAAATTTGGCCACCAGTCTCACTAGGAATGTTGGATGCATAGGTGGTGTTATGACAGAACCTCCTACCAGTCCTCTTTGGCTTAGTAGAGGTCTTGTAGTTGTCCAGTGAGTGAGAACATCTGTGTGTTTGTCAGCTTTGGATTAAAATACTGTAGGTATATGGGTGTGATAATAGTACAAAAGCAGTGCAGAAGTTCATGCTTGTGCAGAATGTATTTTGCCTACCACTGCGATAGCTTAGGCTGCTGACATTTCAAATGTTTCGAATGCTTCTGCTGCCAGTTCTGACCTTCAAAGCTACTAGCAGTTCAAATCTGAGCTGCTTTTTGGAGCAGTAAACTCTGTTCCAGACTTCACTACTTGCACTGAGTACTAGAATCATCTTGGGAGAACCGAAAAGGAGGGTATGGGGACTGTTGTGCTCCTTCCATCGGAATGCTGCAAGGTTGAGAGAAAGGAACATTACAGTACTTTCTTCCGAGAGCTGTAAAAGCTACCGGATTGTCTCGGGAGCCAGAGGAGGGGATTCATCCCCAGTTCTGTGATGTACCTGTGAAGACCTGCCATTTGGAAGTGAGGCAGCCGTCGGAGCATCAGCTTCCTGGGAGGAAAAGGTGTCGTAGAAAGCCGTCACAGTTCGGCAGCTTTCTGACAGGCAGAAGCTGTGCTGCAGAAACTGGGAAAATACACGATTAATTTTGCCTGGCTTCAGAGTTAGATGTTTTCCATTAGGGCAGCTTGGCTTCTTACCAGTAAACTTCCGTATAAATAAAGCACAAGTCCAAAGAATGTAAGGCAGACAACACTTCGTATGTGTAAATAACTGCTTTTAGAATGCTTATGTCGTCAGGTCTGCGTGTGTGTGTGAAGGAAAACAAAACAACCCCCAGAACCTGCTGAATCAGCCTTTGCAAATAAGCATGCGCGGAGCATAACGTGGTAGGTTAAGGGAGATGACATTCCACAGGCGACCTTTTACATTAGGAACTTTGAATTTAACCCTTTTTATTTTAAGTTTAAAAAAGAAATAACTCCTTACCTTTTACCTTTTTAGAACGGATCAAATTAGAGATAGTTTGGGAATATGTAGATAGCCACAAATTTTGATTAAAAATTCTCTCTGGAAATGCAGAGGCTTTCTGTGTTGTGTTCAGATGCTGCAGGTTTAGGCTGCTGTCCCTCTTTTCTGCACCCCTCCAAGTAAGGTGGTGTTTTCGTACATAAATCGCACCAACAGTTCCTTCTGCTTTATTACTTGAAGGTTTCTTTTTGTTTTGAGTACGGTGGTACCTAGAAAGAGGACAACTTGCTGGTGGCCAGAAAGAAGACAAATTAGCACACCTAGTGCTGCCGAGGATCTTGACATGCATGCCTGGTTTAATGTCTCCTTCGTTCCCTTTCTAAAATACAAGCTTCTGGATAACATCTGATCTAGAAATCAGAATCACTGCTGAATCAATTAGATCAAGTTCTGTGTTCTTAAGGTACTTCTGATACTGTGACAGTTTGGGAATTGACCATTTTTGGAGCTCTTAGGGTGACTTTTGCTGTGATTGCATGCAGGATGCAGACATTAGCTGTGAGTGTTAAAACAGCCTGGGCTCAGCAGTTCAGTATTTCTACATATTCTGTTGTGCACGCTGTGATTTAAGCCTTGTACGTCTGACTAGGCCAAGTTTGACAGTCGGTGTTCCTCTTTGTGTTTTGGTAGGATGTGTTTAGTTTTCAGGTGTCTCCTAACATGAATCCCATCAAGCTGAATGAGCTGGCAATCCGAAAACGTTTGACTATCCATGGAAAAGAAGATGAGGAAGTTGATCCTGCTGACTATGTGCTGCAAGTTAGCGGGAGGCTAGAATATGTTTTTGGTGATCACCCACTAATTCAGTTTCAGGTACATAAAGCTCTTTGGAACTTACCGTAACAGTTCTCTGGTGCCTTGCTTCCTGTGCTGTTGGATGGTCAGCTGTGCCGAACAGCAGTACTTTTCCTCCTCGTGCCTGCAGCCCTCTCCAAGTGTGACACACGTGCGCACCATTTCCTTTGTGTCTTCGTAATACATTGTTTGTTCCTTTGATTTGGAAGTTGCCATAGATAGAGCCTGCAAGCTGCTAACGGCTGTTTTCCGTGGGCTTTCAGTACATACGCAACTGTGTGATGAACAGGACTCTTCCTCAGCTGACCCTAGTGGAGTGTTGCACCATAAAGAAAATGTGCGAGCAGGAGATGATTGCCGTAGAAGCTGCCGTAAACCGCAAGTCGTCCAACCTGCCTCTGCCTCTGCCACCCAAAAAAAACAGAACAATAACTGTAAGTTGATAGGGAGATTATCTCATACCCATAAGGAACGGTGACTTGTGGAATATGAATCACGGTGCCTGGGATTTGTGGTGCTCTGACTGCTTTCCAGTGTAGGTCACCTGGGTCTACTTGGAGCCTCCTGTTGCTTGTACCAAGGTTTACAGCAGAAATAGCAGACCTTGAGGCTTTTTGGAAACTACCCAAACTACTCATCCATCTCCTTTCTCCCCCAACTGTCTCCTTTCCGTTGCTGTTGATGCTGCCTTTAATCACAGCCCAGAGGAGCAGGTGATAACCTGGTACCTGCAGCTGGAGGAGTTGTGCAGAGAACCTGGGTTCTCCCGCGCAGCGTGCGGGCCGTGCTGGCTTGGGCAGCAGCAGTCCGTGATCCCTTGCGCTAGCCCAGATACCTCGCGTGGTGTTGCCTCCTCAGCGGTGGCGACTTCTTCCGTAACGTACGTCGAACTTCTCTTTAACGTGGTGCTTCCTTGACTGCTAAGCACAGTTACAGTTCAGGTACTGTCGTTCTAAGAAGCGTGGACAGACTTTGCTCCGTTACACATCCTCTGGATTCAGAATGAACAACAAACTTGAAGGGTTGTTCTGAATTCATAGAATCATAGAATC